TTTGGTACATAGCGGGTTTCCCATGAAAGAACAGACGTCTTTTGGCGCATTGTTCTCGACATATTTCTTGCAGGTTGGCATTAAAATTTAAACAGTTATTGAAAGTTTGAAACCTAGTCACAAAATATGAATATTTGTCAAATTATAATGTTCAAACTATTCCACTCTTCCTTTTCATCATTGTACGGGCACAAAAATTCAGAATGGCGACGGATTGTTCTGACAGGTGAACAGTAATTCACACTTCAATGTTGAAAGGCCGTACATGTGCACTCCCAAGGCGACAGCCTTGTTGACATCCCACCTCTCGTTATAACGCTACAAAACCACTGTCAAAAAGGCTGTTCGAAAATAGGTGTCGTTCGAAAATAGTGTACAAACGATATAATAAATAGACCATCACACGAGGTAAAAACATCGAGTTAGATACTTCACGACTGGTCCGCTTTAGGAAGATAACGTCATATTTTTGCACTGTAGAAACCAATGGGAAAGACGTCATTAATTGTTCATGACGTCAGAAATTGACCACAATATAATATATTAACTAGAGGTTGCCGTAATATCATTCGTAACACAACAGTGAGACTGTGAGTTGGCCCCGCCGAAATATTGCTTGAATGTTGACAAAGGCGGCGTAAAACCATACTCACTCACTCACTGTGAGTTGGGTTCAACAGTATTTCTGTGGGTGTCACAGGAGAGGGAGACACGTGAACGTTCAAATCGTAAACAATGCAACTTTACGAGCACGGGTGAGATGCTGACAAGCCACATCGTTCTCATGGGAATCCCACGACCAAAGGTTTTATATTGAATGACCTACTCGATCACCGGTCTCAAAAGGCTTTGGGCTTCCCAGCTAATCCATAACACCCCGTAGCTTGTTAGTCACTCTCTAATTGTGGATAAACAAAGTTAATACAGAAGACCTAACCTAACAGGCAGAGACGAATCCAACATGAAGGTTTTGCGAAGACATAATTCTATTTTCGGCAGGATCAGTGTGGGGAAACATGGAAACGTCGATATCCAACTGCTTAATCTGTAAACGGAAAGACTCGTGTGGAGAAGTGAAAATAGCTATACGCCTTATCATCAATGTCAGAAGTAAACTACAGTTGGAGCAAATACAATGTTATTTTTAAATTATGGGGCTTCAGACACGTGACAAGCGAGCATACCAACACTTTGCTAGCCCTCGTTTCCATATGCTTAAGACTCAATGTCAAATTCACTGAATATATGACTTCATGCTAAGTCTGGGGGCACGTCAAGGTACACATCCTCGCTGTCAGTAATCTGTTTTGTATTACAAACTTGTGAAGAATATGAAATTAAGTTCAGGCAGTATGACCTTTTTTCCACTTTCGTCAGTTTTGTAAAATAGCTAACTATTGTTCGATTTATTGGCTTACGGGTTTTTTCCTGACTATATTCCAGAACATCAATAATGTCTTTGGAAAACGGTACAGATTTAATACGATTTCAAACGACGTCATCGCGGAGCTTTGAATCCCTTGCCAGTTTTTCTGCTCCATCGTTGGCATGTTTGGTTGCGTTAAAGGAACTTAATTTCAGAGAGATTATAGAAATCGATTGCAGGAAGAGATTATTAAAAAAGCTTATTACTCGCAGATGGCCCGCGTTTCTTACCCTCTAACAAATTGGCTTATCGTTTTGTTCTCTTTTAAAGCGCCACGTTAGTGTTTCAATAAAAAGTTCTTTGGAACCCTTTTTTTATAATCAATCAAAATGCAACTGTGAAAAATGTTAGGGACGTTGAGTTGGGAAATGTGGCTCTTTGATTTAAGTAATCAATTTTGGCAGTCAGATTCACTTAGCAAATCAGTTAGGCTTTCTTATTCATTTTTTTATCTATGTCATTTACACATATGATTATATTAGTAACATTTACAATTCAATTTGTCATACTTTATTTCGGAAGATTCTCCGAACTGAAGAAATGCTATATTCATCAAACTGAATTTTTTCCTTGTTCCTCGAACTGATAAAATGCCTTATTCATCGAACTGAAAAAAATTGCATTATTCCTCAAATTTTAAAATGCGTTATTGAAGTGAAGTTTGTTTTTGTGGATCAGTCGATGCGATACCATCGCTATCATTACAATACGTATTCATGAGTTACGTAAAGTAGATTTCGACTTTATAAAGAGGCGTCATTTACATAGATTAACGATTTGATTAAGTATCTGGTTTAAAATGTCATTAGTCCCAATTCATTTTTGTGTTGCAAAACGAACATTTCTTAAACGTTTCTCGGCGCTTATACACTGCAGACCTAATTCAGAAATAACGTATGGTTTTCAGTCTCAATAAAACAAGTAAATGCGTCATCGTTGTCACTGGATTGCCTGGTCAGTCACTTGATTGTCTGGTCAAGACCCGAATGTTTACAGGCCGTCTTATGTGCGGCGTCAGGCAGAAAACGATCTCTCACTTTCTATGTAAATTGCGTGAGTCATACGTGTGTGACATAACGTTAATCATCATCTGAACAATGTGATATCTAGTTATCGCCTGGGACATGTATAATTATTATCATGATCCAACCGTTGATTACATATCGATCAGACAAATGTCCAGCCGAAACGCCATAGTTATAAAATCACCGCTCCAGCCTTGCTCAGGTGTGCGATATAGCTAAGTTCCCACTTCAATGCGTATACCAGTCGTAGGCGTTCCAAGCCAAAACTAATTGGTTTGGAATCTCCTCATTGCCATCATTACTAAATGCTTCCACCTCTGTTAAGGGCATAGAACACCGTAGTTGTCACGCCGCGAGCAGTGCGGACTTCAGAGGGAAGGACAAAACCCCTGATTCTATTCATTTTACAGGAAGTTGTCACATATATTTGCTGATCATGTATAAGAAATTTCAATTATCATATAGTCAGCAAAAAGCAATGTTGCCCTGAGATATTGAAAATTCATTGTTAATAAATGGTTAATGAGTGTTCAATGCTCCGTTTCCCGTACGAATATTGATTGCTTTCTAAATGGATACCTCATGATTCGTTTGCATGAGGATTTATCGAATACACGGCTAGGCCTGACAGGTATCAATATTCATGGTTATATGATCGAAGTATCAGAGCAATACGTTGGTGTATAATATGTATTTACATGTTCTGTACTTGCAATGGCGCTGGTATCTGTACGAGTGCATGGACAGTTTAGCAACTATCGCTATCTATTTGTGATCTTCTAAATGCCCCGTTCCTTCTGAGATAGACAGGGGATATTTATTACTGTGAAAATGTACAGTATTGTGACCAACCATGAGATAAGGGACGTTATGGGTGAAAAATCACATTTTGACTTTTCATTATATGTTAAAACTACAGTATCTTCGAAACTCAAAAATACAATAAGCAAGCTTCAATTCATATTTATAACAGACATACGTGAAATGAAACATCTGGACTCATTTACCGGCTTATAACTGTTTATGTAGTAATTGCAGTCTATAGACATACTATCTGATGAATTGAAAGTAGAAGGGTTTTGAAATAATGTTTTTATTACATTATAAACTAACAAGTGAAAAATATAATATTTCTGTACAGTCCGCACACATGGCGATCTGCACTGAAGAAAGTTTACGTCAAACGTCTTATGACGTCCCAGAACAATTGTATCCCAGCACCTATAAGGTCCCTTTTTTCTTGGTGGGTCACAATTGTGTAAAGTACATTTCTATTCCATAAATAAATAAGTTAATTTGATTCAGCTCATCAAACCGTGTTTCTTACAATGAAAAAAACTCAGTCAGAGAGAAGTGGGGGACAAAATCATGATAAATGAGGAAAGTTAGGATAGGAGCCCATAAAGCACCAACCAGATAATAAATGAACGGAATGTGAAGACTTCTTGCAATCCTAAATGCTTTTAAGAACATTGAAGAAAACCAGAACTACAGACTACGAAAAAGGATTCAGATTCTCAAACTGATTCCTCCAAACCATGTTTAGTTATCTTCTTCAGCTCTAATACCCTCACACGTTGTCCGAATTGGCTGGAAATAATGTTTTAAAAGCAAGTTTAATGGTCAAGGGGGATATTTTTAGCTTTAACCTTTACGAAGCATTCTTTCAAAATATTAGCACTGAATTCAGCTGAGAGTCTGGGCGGACAATTTAAGTTGTCAACACGACCATTATACCTTACAAAGACGGACTCTGGTTTCCTGGGACAACGGGAAGAGATGTTATTACCTTTGCTATAAAATGTCCGCCTCGTCCGCGACATGCCGGGCTGTGTGATCGCCTTATACTGAAATAATTGCTCCGGTTGTTGCTTGAAGCGCAGAGATAATTATGAGGTGAGCTTTTAGGTAATTATCCTAAACACGACCGGTATCCAATTTCTACCCCCAATAGCGATGCAAAATTGGTCAGGCAGTGTCGATTTTGCTATAATTGCACAAGGTGAAGAAGGGGCGGCTTTAGGTCAGCGTTCATTGGACGCAAATACCTATGTTTTATCATCATAAAGAAATATTTGTAAGAAGCAGCTTCCTCTGCCGATTACGACGCGAACTGTGTTGGGCCTGCATTAGTGTCAAGACTAGCTGTCGGGATGTCGTGCTGGGCTTGAGCAGCGCTTCTCTGGTGCTTTGTGGTGCGCTGTAGCATCGTGGTGCGGTTTATGAATGAAGGGGACAGAGATATATATACCTCTGTTTATGGTGCGACAACGTGTGTCATAGGCAGAAAGGTCGCATACATTTCTTGACGGCATGAGACTGGTTGTTTTTGATGTTGTCTCACTGACATCAACTCACTAGGAGCGATACACCCTGCCATGGATTACTCCTTTCTAGAGGAAGCGTTCGGGGCCTTCAGTGAATGTGTCATGCGTCAGCTGGGTTTAGGTAGCGATTGATTAACCTCCATTTTTTCGCAATTATTCGAACGGCGTCCCTTTTATTACGTTCAGTTTTCTTTTGCCTTAAAGCTGCCGATTATGTTGCAGGTAAATGCAAGAAAAAGCCAAAGAAAGAGGAAAAGAAGAGCTTAATTGTTGGACCACTTATCAGGAAAAGGAGTAAAGAAGACCCACCATTTGTTGTGCCCCAAATTTTCGTGGATTATGGGAGCAGACGTACGTCTTACGCTTCAGCATCGGACCACATGATGTTGGGGGCCCTTGCCCTTGACCTTCGCAGAGGGTCAAGTAGCAGCTGTGGTAGCAGACGGACTTCTTTTGCCTCGGATTCGGATAGGAGGGGATCCGCTAGCAGTCTTTGCAGTAGGAGGACTTCGTTTGCTTCCGACACAGATCGGAGAGGATCGGCGAACAGTCTTGGAAGTCGTAGATCGTCGATTTTGTCCGATCCTTCTGATCGGAGAGGATCGGCCAGTAGTAGAAGTAGTCGTAAAGGTTCGGATGGGAGTCGGATAGATGATACTGACGTCTCTTTTGCTGGTTTGTATAACTTGACGTTTATAAAATAACTTTTATGTTGATGTCGTCCATACATTCACTTACAATGTGTATAAATGTTGTTTTACTTTATATGAGTTCTTCGTAAACTTTCTACTTATTAAAACTGTTCATTGTAAAAACTCACAAAAAAATGCATAAATTTACTTTACAGGTATGTAAATTATTTGACATGACATTTTAGGTGTGTCATTTTGGAGTTGGTAGGTAGTACTACAGTAACATACTTCACGTTTGTAAAGTTTTAAATAGGTTGTGCCACGTTCCAGTGGGTAGTATGGCTATGTCAACACAGAGGACGTCCTTGAACGAATTATTCAAATCAGAATCAGAAGAAATTTCCAATTTTTTGTTATCCGTCATGATCTCAAAATACGTAAAGGTTAATTCATAACAGGTGGCTTCTGACGATATCGCCTGAGAGGATTTGTGTTGCGCCCTAATCAGAACTCAATATATTGATAATGTTTCAGTTTATGAATCATAGAATTATTGGGCACGTTAAGCATGCTTATAACTGAAGAGTCCCTAGGGCGTATGTACAAGATGACGCTCGAATCTAAAGATATTACAGCTTAACCTTCATGGGGACTCCCAGCATAGTTGGCGTCTTTGTGTTAAGGTATGATGCTATTGTTTATTTACTTTGGTATTCACACTGTAATAGGTTCAGGGGATATAGTTTCAACATTGTATGCATTGAAAAAACAACTTGTAAATACCATAACGATAGAAAAGAGGGTAGATTCATAAAGGAAAAAAACACACCTGGAATTAATAATCGTCCGAAATAGGGATAAAGGCATTAACATAGAACATCACTTTCAGCTAATAGGATAACACTTTAATATAAAAAGACCACACTTTGGTATGGTGGTGACATTGAGATTGATACTAAACAGTCGAATGAAAGATATAACTATGACAGATAGGTAACATTCTAATATATTTACTTTAAGATACGGATGCAGCCGTGTAAACCTTGGTACCAAACTCAAACGTACCTCTATGGCAGTTCACCAATTTAAATATAAATACTTGTAATACAATAGGCCTATGCGTCATCAGTGTCGTGGATGATTCAAAGATTGTTTAATGAACAGGACCACCACTGCCATTATGTGAAGGCAGATAGATTCGGGTATGATTGGTCATGCATCTGGCCAAGAGTTTCACTTTAAAGAAGAAACAGTATTATCTAGTCACGAGTGAGAGAGTGCGTTGGGTCTAACGCCGCTTTCTATCTGGTCATGAACGTCACAGACAAATCGAAAGATGCTGTGATGAAGATGAGTACAAGACACATCTCCGTGTGAGAGCGATTGGCTTCAACAGTGTTTCAGTTGTACAACTGCGTGACAGCTTAATGTGTGGGGAGAGTCCAGGCTGACTTTAGCCGTCGACTTTTAGCACTCGTGAACCAGGATGACGAGCGAGAGCGATACCCCATGTAGACAAAAATAGCAGTCCGTCGAGACGGTAGTAATGGATCATATTAATGCACATAGATGCTATTCATACAGTAAAATCAATACATCAATTAGTTTCAGCTGATTGATGTTATTCGAACTCTCTAACACCATTTGCAAACACATTTGAGAGGATAATCCAATCTAAACCTGATTTCAGTTCAATATACAACATCTGCCTGTGGGTGATTTTCAAGTGCATTGTGAGGAACACAATATCGAACTCACAATGCTAAACTAGCATCTCCTGGGTCGTTGTTTGTTCGATTATATTCGTACTTGGGGTCGATTAGTCTTTTAAGTTGAAAGTAATTTTCTCTGCAGAGAAATCCCACTTCATGAATCTAATAGATGTTTTATTTGTAATTGCAAGCACGAACGTTCAAAGGAATCGTTTGAAGATTGCCTGTTTACGGTTGAAAAAACTACAATGACATCAGTGGAAATGGAGGCTGTATCTGCATTTCTTTTGACAAAATGGTCCAAGTAACTATTCTTTCGTTAACGCCATGTAGTATGACGTAGGGCTCAATATACATACATTTCTGACGTGGAGGTTATCCTTTGTCTGTATCCTTTCTTGATATGTGTTACTCAAGGGATTAACAGCTGCATGTATCGCCCGGTTTTTGGACGTCACCGAGATCGTGGCAAGCACTCAGCTGTTAGAAACTGTCATCATTCACACAAGATAGTGCTAATCAACGAGTCACGCGTTTCCTCGACGTGCAAATCCACGTCAGTTTAATTCTGTAACTAAGTTCATGGCATACATATTAACAAGTCGTGTTGGTGTTGAACACACGTTTATCTACTAGAGCAGTTGAAACTGGCAGTTGTCAGCCATAATCAATATTGATTAATCTTGATGAAAGAAATGTCATAAACATTAGGAGATACGACACTCAGCTGTACACACTTCTTAATATCCGTACTTTACCTATCTGGCTTTTTGTTTTATTCAACATGGTTTTATGTAAGTTACAATCGCCGAATAATGATGACAATGCAATGCATTTATTTTAACCAATTTGCTAAATCTTATCTCTGCGACGTATTATCAGTGATTATAACTGTAAACCAATAACCAACTTTAACGCAGAATCACATTATTGTTCAATGTTAAAACGGACATAGCAACTGGATACATAATAACAAAGTTTAGATATGACAAGTTATGTTTGAAGATAACATGTTTGTTCAAAACATGTTATTCAATGAAAGTCGAAGTAAAAACATATGATTAAACACAAAACAATGTGATTACGCCAAATGACTGTAATAGCTAACACATTAATCCATCTCAGTAGGACAAAATGTGTGTTATTGTCCCGGGAATCCTTGCCCCCGGGTAGCCATCTAATTATCCCCAACACGCAGTATGCCTCATTGCCAACAAACGACCCCCGGCCATGCCAACTACGTCACTCTGTTGTTTTTCAGACTTCTCCGATTCCGAAACGATAGAGGGCGAGGACCTTCATCGCATCCTGGGGCGTAAGAAACTACGTGATAGACGCACAAGCTATGGGTCGGGTTATTCCTGCGGGAGCCCCCAATACATCCCTGGGCCCGAAGCCTATGTTCAGAGAGAGGACCAAAGAAAGGGGATCCCCCCCTACAGGCGCAGCCATTCCTTGGCCGAGATTCAGCACAACCAGATTGCCCGACCCCAGCCACAAGAAGGTATGGCTGGCATTTGTGGCGTATATGTCCACAAGCTAATGTCTCACAAAGCTCCTGATGCCGCACTTCATAAATGATTCATAACGCAAATGTTTATGGTTTCAGGGAATGCTCGTCAGGAAGCCATTCAAACAATACTACATCAGAGTACATAAATACAGGGGCATTTGTGGATTGACGACGGGAATTTCCAATGAGATACTTTCAGTAAACAGAACTCTGATTTAGCTGGACTTATACGCGTAGTATTTTGCTGGGATTTGAATCAAAGTTGGTAGAGTGAGACCTCAGTAATATAAACTCCACTTCCTTGTTGTGCAACATAAGACGAGGAGACATTATAGTCCGATTAGAATACATATAGTCATTACGTCATCGACACTCTGCTTATATTAAACAAAGGACATATATAATCACACGTCCACAGCAGCTTGGTTTGCATCCTCCGCAGGGAGATAAACATTAAAATGAAGTGCACATTGATCCATTGACCTGGGTAATAATTATGTAACGCTTCGAGCTGTACAAGTGGACTGTTTTGGTAGTAGTAGTAGTATTAGTAGTAGTGGTAGTAGTAGTAGTAGAGTAGTAGTAGTAGTAGTAGTAGTAGTAGTAGTAGTAGTAGTAGTAGTAGTTTAATAGTTCAAGGGTCCCCAGGAATTCAAATTAACGAGGTTTCAGTGTACGGTATGATGAAACACTTGGATATCTGTAGGGCTACTTTAAAGGTTTGTTTGTTTGTTGTTCACCGCCGTACTCAGAAATATTCCACCTGTGTGAAGGAGGCCAGTAATTAATCGAGTCTGGACCAGACAATCCAGTGATTGATCTCATGAGAACAATCCACGTCGGGACACGATGACATGCAATCCACCAAGTGACTATGTCTGACCACTCAATCCACCAAGTCACCATGTCTGAACACTCAATCCACCATGTCACCATGTCTGACCACACAATCCACCAAGTCACCATGTCTGACCACTCAATCCACCAAGTCACCTCATACGACCAACTTAGGTTGCTGGGGACCAATGTTGACCCGAAATCCCAAGGGTAAAGGTTAATTAATAAGGAAAGGCGGATTGACTGTAAATTAATAGAGGGTCATGCTGAAATAGTTAACTGATTTACGAAAGATGAGTAACAGATAAAGGTCACTTCTATAAGTCATTTGTATGACAACTGCATAGTTACTTGAAGGAAAAGTAATCGTATTCTAACCAAAGGATTACTTAATGACCATATTAATGACAGCATGGTTATTTATCAATAACAAACAGGTTACTTGATAACACAGTGGTACGCTAACAGCATGGTGACTTATCAATAATAAACGGGTTACTTGATGACAATAGTGAGGTAAGATAACAGCATGATTTTATATCAATGACAAAAAGGTTACTTGATGAAAAGAGTGATGTAAAATAACAGCATGGTGATATATCAATAACAAACGGGTTACTTGATGATAACAGTGATAAAAGATAACAGCATATGGTTATATACCAATAACAAACGGGTTACTTGATGATAACAGTGATGTAAGAAAACAGCATGGTTATATATCAATGACAAAAAGGTAACTTGATGATAACAGTGAGGTAACAGTCCCTTGAAGATCCAGGTTAAAATAGGTCTTCAGTAACCCTCGCTTGAAAGATGCGACTAACGTGATCGGGTGGTCACGCTCGCTGACTTTGTCGATGCATATCAGCGTATCTAGATTGCGTGGATGGATCACTTGATTGTCTGGTCCAGACTCGATTATCTACTTACCGCCGTCAGGTTGCTGGAATATAGCGGCGTTAAACAACAAACAAACAAAAGTGAGGTAAGATAACAGCATGGTGGTGACAACAGTAAGGTAAGATTTCAGCATGGTTATTTATCAATAACAAACGGGTTATTTGATGATAACAGAGAGGTAAGATAACAGAATAGTTACTTATCAATAACAAAAGGTTTACTTGACAACAGTGAGGTAAGATAAACAACATGGTTATTTATCAAAAACAAACGGGTTATTTGATCATAACAGATTACTCGTAGCCTAAGATGGGTTAATGTATGATAACAGTGAGGTATGATAACAGCTTGGTTACCCCAAGGATAGGCGTGAGGCCATAGTATGATATAAAATGGTTACCTGTAAGATGACAACGAGGATACTAGTAAGGAGATGACATGGTTACCCTATGACAACCCCGATCAAATGGATAACGACGAAGCTAGAGGTGTGATAATCATAGGTATAAGTGAGTGAGTATGGTTTTACGATTTTAGCAATATTCAAGCAAAATCACGACGGGGGGCACAAGAAATGGGCTTTACATACTGTACCCATGTGGGGAATCGAACCCGGGTCGTCGACGTGACGAGCGAACGCTTAAACCACTAGGCTACCCCACCGCCCCAGTGATGCTGTTCGTATGTTGATCGTACAATCCTTTCAGAAAAACTCAGTGTGAAACAAACCAGTAACACGTTTCCTTTCTTTAACATGCAAAGTGCACTTTGAGAAACGTTTCTTTATCTACATAAAAGTAACTGCTGGTAATATACTCCTTTGGAATCTAACGTTTAAGGTTCTGTGAAATTGGATTTGTAGTTTCGTAGAACTGGAATCGATACCGGGGACTGGCTGCCTATCTCTTTCTTTCTCTGAAATATATTCCATTGCTACATTGGCTTGTCACTTTGCCCAACATCGATGACAGGCAGATGTTTCTACCCTCCAGTGATGTCTTGCTTGTGTCTTCGGTCAGCAGACCATAGTCATTACCTTAGTTAATATGAGATGCAATTTAGAAATGACAGTAGAACAAGTAGATGAAGTTGGTGCCAAGACTCTGGGCAGATTTTCATGTCTCCCCAAGGACATTATCCTGAAGAACCTGTCACCAAAATAAGGCTCACATATATCTCTGGAAAAAAGCCAAAATGAGGGGTTCATGAGTTTCTGGAATGTATATTCAATAAGGCAAAGGATATGGTTACTGTCTCAGCATCCTGAACGTACCATTATGTTTGAAATAGTATGTCTATTTATGTCCTTAATAGGTGTCTATTTGGTGACAGTTTCTTTGTTGTTCATTGTTGTGAACACTCCTCATGGTACATTTGACAAAATGGCTTCATTTCCTTTTTTGAAGTGATAAATGTAGGAGGGTGGTTTTATCCTTCTTTTGTCTTCTGTAACTACGTATATGTTGTGATCATATACACGTTGAACAACTGAAACATATATCGTATGTCGTGTCTATAATATCTAACCTGCCGGGCAAAAGATGTATACACCAATGTTTGTTTGATGGTTGATAAACATGAAACAAACAAGAAAGGGCTAGGCGATGGTGATGTATTTGATACGTGTATCATTGGCGATATTACATTCATCGTTTGGGATTATTTTCAGCCTAGTAACGCTTGTAATTATTGGGTCAATCAAATTTTCAAGTGTATACTTTCTTTTGCCTAGCAGTTAAGTGTAATTGCTTTAGCTGGCCTAAAGGTTATCAAAGAAACTGATATATTGATCAGCAATATTTTAGCATGAAGATTATGCCTGGGCCTCAATTATCAAAGCTTTTAGTGCTGGGACAGTCGTAATTTTATGTTAAAGTATGCGAGTAACGACAGCCGAAACGCTGTGCTCGCTTCGCAAACCCAGCCTTAAACTTTAAACATTTGACGAACATGTACTGTTCTGTTTGCATAATACCAAAATTTGGCAAGGGGTCAATCTGTGTATATTCATTTCAGAAATCGATCGGAGTATGTACCCATCAACGCCACGACAACGTTACCATGGAGAGCGTCGTTCAACTCTCTCCTCCTTGGTATTCAGTAGTATTCAGGCGATGGATCAAACAGGGGCAGTTATCCCCCCTTACCAGAAAAAGAAACCAAAATCGGTAGGTTTGGCACAGTTTGCTAGTTTTTCAAGACCACCCGGTGTCATCACTGATTTTCAGTTATCTATCCATGTACTCTTCACTACTATTTTGCTGTTTGAAAAGGAATCTGTTTCGGTGGATGATCGAGACTTGTTATTCTCTGGCGTTGACATTTGATATCTTTCTGTTATTATTTCGAACACCTACAGTGAAATCATAGCAACTCATTTTTTAAAGAATTGTGGTGATATGAAGCTGATAAATATTTGCATAATGTACAAGATCATATATTTGTTTTTTCTTAGATTATTATAGTTCTTCCCCAAGTCGATTACAATAGGTATCGAGTGGACAGTACGTGTGACCATAGGGCCTTTGTCCATGCTATCGACCTCTGGGTTGTCTAGTCTGGATCCGATTACTTCCCACACGCCGTGACATAATTGTATTATAACCATGTGGCGCATTATCAGCTTTCATACACTCCCATGAATGCCTTGTCATCCGATCAGAACATGGTATGATTCATTGATAATCAAATTGTGTGGGTACATGACGTATTGGTCGTAATTATAAGGCCTTACGATGCTTTTTTCCCAGATTCTCTCCGCCATTGGCATCTGTCCCTTTGAACATCAGATCAGTCCATCATGAACATATGATCCATTGATTATCAACTTTCCAATGGAAGCATCTGGAAACATATGGTGCTGTTTGATTACAACGTGGCTCTGATAACCAGCTTTACGAACCATTCTCCCACGCGTTGTCTTCATTGGTTAATCCTCCATCATCCACTCTAATAACATAAACCCACTGTTTTTGTGTGTCACACAGCAACTGCAAACGAGAAAATCAGGGTTTACTAATTATTATTCCACTGACGTGGTCTCGTTAAGGTAACAATTTACTGTGTCTATTGATCAAAAACATGGATTTACTAGTTCATTGCTATTTATTGATGTCAGTTTTCACATTAATCTCATGATCTGTTATGTTGCCAATGAAATGCAATCTGCATGTGTTTCTATATTCTGATACACATACTTTTTGTTTTGTGATTATCATAATGTTATGAACAAGCGAGCAACAAGCACCAGGGCAACACGACAGGCTCGTTTCTGTAGATACAAATTATTCTTTGTGACAGGGATCTTCCTCTTGTGCTGTTTTTACACCCTAAGTCAACCAGAAATGTACTTTCGTATATTGGGAAATCTTATTTGGGAATCTGTTTTATTCATGTGCCGTTCTTGTATACATATTTAACATATTGTTGTCTATCCACTTTAAAAAAAATCACTTGTCAATTCCACAACTAAAAGTACCAATTTTCATTCCAAATAACATCCCTATAGTATTTATTTGGATGTCAAATTATGGAGGATCATTACTTTAGGTCGGATGAAATTACTGAAACATACAATGGATCCATAGTCGTCCCGTGACCATAAGCCGTTTTCTATCGCTGATATGAATTTATAATCAGCTTTCTCATTCATATCACTGCAAATAAGAGACATATATGAGGATGGTATCCATGCAGTCTGCAAGCTGATGCAGAATCTCTTCATTATCTTCTTAACGTCGAAAAAGGCCTTGTAACCTTGAACGTTAAACGTTAAGCATTAGACGTTCTCCTTGGTTTAGCATATAGACTTAGGAAATGGGGGGTAATTGTGGATGAGGTATATTCCCTTCTAAATCTCTTTATAACATATTTATTTTCAATGGTAAAGAAATTAACAAATAAACGTATAATCGACGGCGGCCATTACTGGAACAAATATGGATCAAAATATCGTTAGCAGCCTCGTACCAATTGGGATCACAACTTTAAGATCAGTATGGATGCTGTCGTAGCATATGCCAACAAATTGGCGAAAAGGGAAGATGAACCAGTTGGTCTGCGCGTAGTGTTGTCATTGGTATGACGGACAAATTGAAAAAGAGGAACAGAATTGGAATAAACACATTCTGCCCAAGGCAGCGGTTATCCAAAGTGTGACTTCTCTGCACGAAAAGTTTGTTTTCATTCCTACTGAAAAGGCCTCAAATAACATAATCTTTGTATGTAAGAATCACTACATTAATTGTTTGATCACAGAACTCGGTATACTTGACAAATATTGCCAAATATAATATAATATGTTACCTGAGAAAGAAAAAAGAAATAGCCTAAACCCACACATCAGTACTATTAACTTTCGACTTGACTCTAAAACTTGAAGACACGTGACCATTTCCTCATGTGTACTAGATTCCAAAGTTCCATGAAATCCGTACGAACAGAGATATATTTACCATACCTCAAAGAGTGACCAAAATGCTAAATACAATCAAGGAAGGACGTTCTTGATATTCAGAAATAAGAGACAAGTTGTAGTAGTACCATGTGGATCTTTAAAAACATGCTTGTATTTTCGCAATCTCAAAAAAGAACCAAAATCCATTATGTCAGAAAAGTCAATGTCATTTTCGTTTGATTCGTATCTTTTTACACCACTGCCCCACACGACACGAGAAACTTTATTCCTTGATCCATGGGACAAACGTATAGACCATATAGTTACATCTCGATCTTTGGAGGCACGGGTGGCGTAGTTGTGTTAGGCGCCGCGATTCGCTATGCAGAGTTGCGTCCCTTGGGCACGCCAGAAACCTATGATTGTGGGTTCCATTCCCGGTTCGCCCCAGTTATGTTTCTAGGTTTGTCAGCACCATACCCCGTGCTCGTGGGTTTCACCGAAGTGGTAAACGTCTGAGACCTGCATCACTTCGAGCTTTCCTCTCACATTAAGCTGACACGCCGCGATATAACTGGAATACTGTTAAAAGCGGCGTTAAACCCAACTCACTCACTCACACATCTCGATCTTTCGAGATACTTACAATTTGGAAAGCACTTGTAAGTAAATGTCATCTGAAGTTTACTGAGAAAACAATATGTGAAGTACTAGGCTTCCTTGTTGATAACATCTGTGTGAAATTTAGAGATAAGTCATTTAGACAACATGTAGGCTTCCCCATTGTCCTTAATTGTGCTCCCCTTCTTGGTGATCTGTATTTTTATACACATGAATTTTTATGCAATTTTAGCTCTTATTTGCAAATCAAAATATGTGAGTTTGGCAAAGAAGTATAACTTAAGCTTGAGGTATATCGATGGTCGTATGTTGTTCAATAATGGTCTCATAGCCTATTCCCTTCCACTGAATTACCCACACATCTGTTTCATGTATAGATTTATGCATAAAGATTCATCAGAGTGATAACAAACTCACCACAAGACTGAATGACAAGAAGGGTGACTTCAGGTTTCCAATAATAAACTTTCTCTCATGCCTTTGTTGTCTACAATTTACAACTCTTGCGGTACCATCGATCATGCTCTTTCTACGAAGAGTTCAAAGTGCGCCATACGACTCTTGCTCAAAAGTTGTTTGATCGGGGTTTTATTCAGGACTTTTGTAGAGCTTTCAAGAACTTTTAGAGTAGATATGTGGAAGACATTTTTAAATATGACGCATCAGTGACCAAAATTAGGTCTGATGCAACGTCTTCATTTGACTTGTACTATATGATCCGGAACAATTGACTTCCCCTTGCACGTGTTTGTGACGGGTGCCACCGATGAAGCAGGGTTCAAAACACATACTGTACTAGTGACATAGTCGGAATCGCACAATAAACTTTGCTTTTAGTAGAGATTTCTTATGATTGTATGGAAAGGGTTTTATTTCATGTCCATCTTATCACAGGTGGTGTTCAAGAAATAATGTATGTTAAATTCGTTAAATATAATACATGTAAGATTAAATGTCCCAAATGGCCCTTTTTCGCATATCTTATAATTATAGTCAAATTAATCCTACTTGCACGTTTGTCTAAGTGAGATCCCATCGTTCAGATTAATCTCCAAATCATCTCTAACTGTAATTATTCGCCCGGATATTGAACATTGGTAGGAAGTAATTGTTCCAGAATAGTTAAAAAGCAAACAAATATGTTACTCCCCTCGAACTCGAACAGCCATTAACCTCATAGATAAGGCTCTTAGACGCTTGACTACTCAGTACAACACTTAATCCACTTTGCCTTCTCCACTTAAAAGTTCACCATCATGGTTATGTTGAATTCAGGAAATTGGGTCTTTATCTTCGCGAATCAATAGCTTGCACACTGTCTGTACAAGTTTATCACGCCGAGCACGTGTTGATTTAGAGTATGTAGACTAAGTGCACGGCCACTTGGAAATAGAAATTGTCAGAAATTACCATGTAATGACCATGAACCATCACATCAACTGTCGTTGACCTTGTGTTAATTACCTTCTAATTGGATGCTAAGATGCATTGAAAAGTATCAGGGTTCGACCCAATATATGAAAAGAGTTTGTGTGTTTTAGAAACATGTGGTTACATACCAATGTAGTATATATTACACAGATCACCATATAGAGTAATGACGAATTTCCTTGACAACATATGTTCAATTGGGCGTTCCTTGTCCATTGAAGTGTTTAAGACACTGTCGTTTAAAGGCTATGAAAGCAACTTTCGGTATGACTTTAACGACATCGAGATATAATGTTCTACACAGAAAGGTATAGTTTACACCGGTATGTCACTATCGACTCACAAAAGTGTAAGTATAATTTGTGGGCCACAAAGCAAATATTTTTAATGGATCACTGTAAATGAGTGATGACACAAGGTGTTGGCAAAAAGGGTAAGCATGTCCTGTTCTATAGCTAGCTAAGCTTTTGTTCTAATAACATGACGCAATCAATATTTGACAGTTCACATTTCACATTATAAAGTGCCTTGATTATGACTAAAGGCCTGTTATCTCCACACAGTGCTTGTAGGTTTCTCCAAAGTGATAGATGCCAGAATTGTGGTCTGAGAGAAAATATTTCAATCCCCCGGTATGTTTGTACATAATATTACTATCGTTTAGGTCCTATTTGGGTTATATATGGGACTGTGAATAATAACAGTGATGCCACTTTAGAA